TTTCAGGGGAGACAATCGTTATCAAGATAGGTAAGTGCTGTTGGTCTATATCTCAAGCATATCAAACGTAAGTTAACGCGATTCTTTTAGTAAAAAATAACGATAATATTGTAGTGGACGCCTACGTACACCACGCCCACAAATTACTCAACAGTAATTGGACGGAAAATAAACAATACTTTCTGTACAGACAATTTACGCATCGCACGAGCCACATAAAAATTTCTCGTGTTTTTGCTTCACCAAACTAGCTATAGAAAAAAAAATCAACAATTGGTCGATTTTTGGCCAATCACATTAATTGACACTTTGTTCAATATCCTTCCTGCGCTCGTTCATGGAGCCACCTTACATGTATAAAAAGCAGAAATTAAAGAAATAACTTTAGTAGATTATAAATTTTCACAATCTAAACCATGTACGTGTATTTTCAATTTTCTACTCACACATACACAGATATAAACTACACTCACACAACACAGTGAACTGTCTGTTTTCAAGCCAATTGAACTATTCGAAACTATATCATTCTTCTGCACAAATATTTCAACTTTCAAACTCAAACATCAAACGTTCTTAAACTACCAACAAATTTAAACAAAAAAACATTATTACAACATACATTTGTTCTTAACACAATACAAGGGAAACCACTTCGTGTGACTTAATCTTTATTGTCATTAACGGAATTATATGTATATACTTGTTTCAATGCGTGTTTTGCTTGTTGATTTTCATTGATCTCTCGTCATTCCTTTTTGTGTTTTCTTTACAAATTAAATGTGGAATGTTAATGTAAGAACGCAACCTTGATCAAAAACCCTTCTGATTCTTTTCTAACGGACATCATTAGCTAACCCACAATATCATGCAATTTTGGAACGACATTTGTAATTGTGAAACTAGTAATCCAGGATAATTAGCTAAACGATTACCACTATACTCTTTCGATGGACAGTCTATGATGAGAGCTACGAATTAGAGAGATCTAAATGAAGCGAGTGGGAAAATTTAACTATCTGGTAAGGTGACAGAAATATGACACCGAAATGCGAAGGCACATTGAAATAGCGAAAGATGCCTCCTAAAAGCTAAGCAAAATATTAAGAAACAGGAAAGCGTGCTGAACTTCAATGTCATATCTATCCTACACTATCCTAAACTGCTATGTAATACCAATGCTACTGATGCACAATTTACTCACAGATGAAGGTGAAATTTCAAGCAAAATAGATCTGGTTATACAGAAGGATGCTGGGAATACTTTTCTGAGCCCCAAAATGTTTTAAGGAAAATGGAAACGAATAGAACACTTTTACATAGAATCTGAAATAGGCAGTTGAAATTTCTGGGACAGATAATTAGGAAGAATGGCGTGAAGAATTTGACACTTACAGGACATATTGAAGGTAAGAAAGGAAGTGAGAAAAAGGGAGTCGAATGGAAGAACTGTGTAGAATAATGAATGACAACATAGAGAGAAGTGGTCTGAAGTGTTCACCTAAGTACGATAAAATAGATAGATAGCAAATGTACTTTTTTGCTTAAGAAAATTTTGTAAATACCAGAATGAATGTAATTGCATTATCTAGTGAATGCATGAGATGAATGACAACGTCTGATGCAACCTGCCTGTTCACAGAAGAAAAGACAAAATGCCTACAACTCCAACATAGACGCACGGTATAGCGTTACTCTGACGAAGTATTACGCTTTTTCTCTTAATTAATTCTGGAGTCTTTTCGCCGATTTCTGCCTTCAGTTGAAATAAACGGACACTGTGTACGATCGAGTGAGTCGATTGTTTTTTCCTGAGGACTTTTCAACTCGCCCGATACACACAGCATAAATTTCTTCGGATGAAAACAGGTCTTTGGTTAATTTTGTTTGTTCTACGAACTTTTGCTTTCCTCGTTGTTGCAAAGTATCCACTCCTCATCAGCAGTCACAATTTAGTCCGACAATAAAAACAAAAGCAACAATAACAACAAAGTGAAATACCGAGCTGTAGGTTTCCCGCCTAACTTAATTGGAAGTCATTCATTAAGGCGACTAACATAACAGAGCTTTTGCAAAATAATTGAAACGCTAGATTTCGATATTTTTATTATATTAGTCAATTCCTGCGCTGTATAAGGTTGATGATTCTCAAATAAAGTTTTAATATGATCGTGGAAAATCTCAATTGCTCTACTTGGGCAGCGTTTGGCGAGTAAAATCCAGTATAAAAAATTTGCAAGCCATTTTCAACAACTACTAATATTTCGTCTGTTAGAATTGCATTTTAACTTTATTAAAAAATAAAAAGCGAAGCATTATTATTTATTTTCTCCCGTTTTCAATGTTACAATTAATAAACAAAAATGGCAGTCTTGTTTTCAATCTGTACTGTGTTCAGCTGGTATCATATTTTCCAAGCTCACTTTCCTCATTATTTGCTCTAGAAATTTCAGCTGTCTCTTTGTGATGTTAAATATACGTATTCTTTTTGTTTTCATTTTCTCTAAAACTTTGTCGTTACTCACATCGGTTCACGGTATTCTCAGCAACATTCTGTAGAGCCCCATTTCTGTTGCTTCAAGTCTCTTTTTCATATGTGAGGAAATTGACCAACATTCACTGGCATATAGGTGAACTGATATTACGCAACAATATATATATATATATATATAAATCTCAATAGCAAGAAAGTGATATATGAACATTGGAAAATATATAAATTTATAGGAATCGACTGCACTTCATAAATAGAAATAAATCGTTTTAAATATATCGAAATAATTTAAGTGGTTGTTAAGATATTTTAAATGTCTGCGCGTGGAATACTCGATTTAGGTCGATGTTCTTCGGAAGAATGAATGTCCTTGCCAAATCCTAAGCCACTTTTAGATTATACGGTTTCGATATAAGCGTGTATCAGCAATTGCCTCAGATCTTTGAAAAATGTGGAATGTAAGTGGCGGAGACAGAATTTAGGCACGCACAGCATACACACGGGCATAGAGTGCTGTATTTTACTTTTTTCGTTGCCAGAGCGTTGAAAAAAGCACGAGTTAAAATAAACTCTTGATTGAATTAGCGTAGCAATGAAAAAAAAGGAATGTTTCGTAAAATTGCAGAAAATTTATTTTATTAAAAGCGACATATCACATAAGATGTTTACTAGTTAAATGAATACGGTAGAAACTACGTCTTGGTGTTCTTATAAATGCTAGAAGAAAACTTGCATATTATATTGGACATGCGTGTTTTTTTCTTGAAATTCCAACGTTTCCTTAACAACTCTTGCGTTAAAGATATTACACAAAGTTTTATAACATATCTTTATAATTTTTTTTTAATAAAAATATCTTATTGAAATTTTCTCGTATACATAAATAATAGTAGGCACCTCGTTGTAACCTTAACGTTATGACCATGAAACTCGGGACGAACTGACCATGGTCGATTTTTATATATAAATGCGACCTGGAGAGACGATCTTGCATGTGAGAGTGTTGAGAAATATCTTGAAAATCATATCACGATTTGACCTAAACCTCGTAAGTGAAATTGGGTAGTCGAAACTGGAAGCCATGCTAGCCCGACGTCACAAGTCATCGTGATCGAGGATATAGGCGTACAGATCTTGTTTAACTGGAAATCACGATAGAATATCTGTTATCTCTGTGTATCTAAGGTCTGTTCCATTAAGTGTATTAAGAAACAAATGGGAACGTGGTTAGAACGTTCGCATTCTGACCACGAGACACGGGTTCGAATCTCACTATGGTCAATTTGTCAGAAAGGAGACTTCCTGACGTTATTGAACTGGAGGGGTCGATCCCAGCGTGCAGCACTTTTGGAAAGTGCCTGAAGACTATACCTCGGGTTGAGCCTAGCCTTGTGAGAGAAATTGGGTAAAACTGGTGAAATTGGCCGTCGATGTCATCGCGGCCTTATTCAAATTCTTGATCCCGTTAGATAACACGCTCTTTCCCAGAAACTGTAACTAAGGTCTGCTCAGTATAAGTACTGTATGAGTACAGTTGGTCTTTGTGGATGTTGAACCTGAGCAATGTTCTACAGTAGGGATTGGCTAGCCGCCCTAATAGAAGGGTATCCTCGAACACCAGTGGTCTGCTATACATACATCAAGAAACCAACATATTCCTACAAAAGATATTACCTAGACATTCTTGCTCACATCATAGTATGGTTGCCTAGTACATGTAAGAAAAAGCAAGTTTGGATCTAAAGAATCTCAATTTTCTCCAAAAATTTTGGATATAACGCTTGCAAGTATAATTCTGGCCACTAAAACTGTAAATAATGATTTCTTTTAGAACTGGATAATCAAATGATATCGTGTCTTATTTCTAATTTGTTAAAAACATGAGTAGAAGTTTTGTGTGCCCATTATTATTATTATTATTACGTGTCTGTTGTTATTATTACTACTGTTACTATGCTCAGATTATAAGCAATAAGTTCATAACTTTACTGCATCTGTTTGGCGTTGATGTAGCTTGTAGGCTGTCGGTCAAGTCGTAATAGACACACGCTCATGTTATTGATATTATTATTACTATCGTATGGCTAAGCATAATGTAATTCAGATAGAATTTAATTTTGCACCTCTTTCAGTTCCCCGTCTTATCCATTCCGGCTCGTTTTCAACATGTCGGCTCTAAGCTCAATTTTTATTGGCAGATAAGAATTCACTTACTCTGAAGGTAGTTTTGGCAGCTGTTGTCGAGAAATGATGGACCAACCAACACAACCCATGACCAAATCTAATGTCTTTTGTGTTAAAGCTAGAGAGTAGGATATACACAGGAATTTGTAGTGGGGGGGCGGTTAAGTCATTGCAGAAGGGCTTGAACATTTACCCATTTATCAAGAGTATGCACAAATGTCGCCGGGAGAATTAAATTAAGAAGAAATAAAATCGCTCGAAAGAGTAAGAAGAAAACTGAGAACCTAACAAGTGTTTATACTTTCTTTTACTGATTCCTCGTATGTGTGTATGTATATATGTCTATCTATCTATCTATCTATCTATCTATCTATCTATCTATCTATCTGCTTTCTCTATGTGTCTTTCTCTTCTGATTGCAAAGCATAATCAATCTAACTTTACTCGTAAATAATACTATACTTTATTTTATGGCTTTCGTTAAATGACTGAATATTTCAGTTGTCCACAAACAGAGCAACAACGACAAAATTAGCTATAAATATAAAGTTAATCTAAAACACAGTAGCAAAATTTTGCTAAATCTCAAGGGAAATATTTGATGTGTACATAATCGACCATTACAATCATGTAAAGTTTACATCAACGTCTATTCTCTATATATACCAAGAAACTCACCAGCGGATGTCGCTAATGAGTTCAAAGACAAGTTTGTCGTGAATGTTGCGTTGACAACAATTACACGTACCGTGAACAAGACTTGCCTTTTATAGCCTACTGAACTCGACGCAGAGAGAATACCATTTAAACTTTGTGTTGGAGAGTAAGTATAAAGATTTGGTTTCGGGTGAGAGTAATGTAGTCAATAATAGTGGCAATGAATATTTTTCAAATTGTTGGAACAAACAACACACATCACCTATAGACTCGTAAGCACGGCATCGAGTAGCGTTGCAGGCGGTGATTTTAAGTTAAAATACGAAGTTATTTCGACAGAATTAGTCAGTTAAGTACCATACTCAATACATGCTTGGGCGATCATGTACCTTTCGATACATGACTGACTGGGCAGAAGATCCCCTCCACCAGTAGGTCGTTATTTCTGCGGTAGACTGCCTGCCAACCAAGGCTAAATAACTAAGTCTGTCCTGCAACCCATAGCTTGTTGAAGAAGAGATGAATTCATACCTTTCCCAAGGGTTTTTTGTGCGAAAGTGACTCTAACAAACTCGACTGGAATTCGAACTCGGCTCTCTGATTTATCATTGCGAGCCGATTTTTTTTGTATAAACATTTTTTATAGTAAGCAAAAAACCCATACATCTCGATTAAAGATAGTAGTAGTAGTAGTAGTAGTAGCAACAAAGATTTTAAAAAAATCGCTATTGATATAGAGACGACTCGAGTCTAGAAAAAGGCGATAATTTACAAATAGATTGTTGACCTTGAACAATAGTAATTGACCTATAATGTATTCTTTTAAAGTATTATTATAAAAGATTACGACATATAAATAACAGATATTATTAGTAAGTTTAATGAGAAATCGCTGGATCATTAATATCTTTTATAGACATCTTTAAAGGATTAACCAGAGATTACACATTAAAAATAAAATAGAACGAATGTTCAGATTTAAGGATTTACTGTATATGCATACGGCCCGAAATCTCGGAGCCTTTTCTGATTGTGCATTGGCGCCCTCAATCCGACAAAAGCAAATGATCTATCTCTCAGATCTATCCCATTGATTGAAAAGTGGCTTTGTCAGAGGAAGCTAGGAAACTGTCAGAAGTTCGCATCAAAAACAACAATCTTGTATTTGAGCCCTGCGTTCCTCAACAATTTTACCTCTTCTGCCTGAGCTCCTGAGTCAAAATTCGCCAATAATTGGTTTGTAAGGTTTCATGGTAGATATAGAAATAGTTTTACGCTCCGTTCAATCGGTGGCTGGGCATTACGTCATTTTTCTCTACCACCGGTAAAGCGGTGGTCAGGACTTAAAGGGTTAATTTGTGTCCTGTGAGACAAATCGTTCGAGGCATAAAAAAACAGTTCGCATAAAAACTTAATGCCTATTGATGAAACATAGGACTCCACACTTATCTATCTATCTATCTATCTATCTATCTATCTATCTATCTATCTATCTATTATAGTCTGTTAATTATCTATCTATTATAGTCTGTTATCTATCTATCTATCTATCTATCTATCTATCTATCTATCTATCTATCTATCATGTGAATGATGTATTCCAACCTCATATGAAGGACAATGTAGAATGTAGGATTAGCAATAACTCTTCTAACAAAGATGTTTTCAATAAGTATAATAGTGTTTATAATAACCCGTTAAAAATAGTGGTTACAAATACACAGAAATCAAGTATAGACAGCATGATAAGCACGAACAGAAAAATCATTTGGTACACACTACTATTTAAGCAATTGGTTAGTAGAAGTTCTTCCATTTAATTGATAAGAATTCCCAAGAAATAACCCACTCAGTAAAATATTTAACAGAAACACACTAAAACTAAGCTATAGCAGCACCGATAACCTAGAAAAAATTATAAAAATCATCATAATAAAATTTTAAAAAATATAAAAAATAAAAACGCGTGTAATGATCTTAATCCAAGGTAACTAATGTCGATAATACTAAAAATTTTAATTGCAGAAATTCTAACGATTTCCCACTGCAAAACAAATTTCTGACTAAATCTCCTGTTTATCGAAGCACTATTTCTACAATTTGGAAAAAAAATACAGGGAGTATTAAAAACACTTTTTACACTTATAAAAATAGAACATCTATTTCCAAATATTTTTGGAATTTAAAGGAGGTTAATAAAACTGTTACGGTTAAATGGAAAGTTTTAAATACTTGCTTCTTATGCTTACACGGGAAAATTAGAAAATTATTAGATTTGTTGATAAAAATTCCCTATTAAACCAAAGAAGTGAATTAACTGTTAATTGTATGCATAGGTTACCTTTCACATTATAATATCTATCTATCTATCTATCTATCTATCTATCTATCTATCTATCTATGTGTGGGAAGATGAGACAAAGCGTAAAATTTTTATGACATACACTTTTCACCACCGGATAAAATATGTATTCTCTTTGGTTCCTTCAGTTTGATAATGAAAGGAAAAAAATGTGAGAAAAATGTCTTGGGACATCTGAGGAGAAGGCGGCATCGTAGATTAAATTTATTGCCCCATCTTGTCACCTCGTGATTTAGACTTGAAGAGCGTCTATCTGTTGGCCTTTTTTGGTTTTACCTGTATCTCTATTAGAGCTGTTTGGTATTACTGGATTTTAGATCAGGATATATATATATATATATATATATATATATATATATATACTTTTGCTGATTTAAAAATAGAATAATGTTTTACATCAAACAACAAAGTTAAATTTATAGATGAAAATTCTAAGTTATTAAGATAGAGAATAAGACCAATGCTATTAGACAAAGAGATCATTGGCATTTGAAAATAAAGTCCTTCTCAGTCCGTATACAACCGCTTTCTCAGATCAGTGATTGAAAATGGCTTCGAGTGAATAAAGCATGTTGGTCTTAGCGGGGAACAAGCATCTCTGAACCTCGTAGACTGGCGCTACACAATCGCAAACAAAGAACTGTAGCAAATAACAGAAAACGCACCAGTTGATGATTTTCAACAACAGAAAAAAACTAAGATAGATTGCAATGTGACTCGAAGACAAATTAATGAAATAATCAAGATGTTAGCGTTCCACATGACTTCAAACAAAAGGGTAGGAAGGAAACTCCAATCAGTACTGGAAAGTGCGATAATATTTTGTGCACTTGAAAAACTTTTTTTTCTTGAAACATTGTTTTAATAATAAGATTTTATAAATTTCTAATGATAGTGCTTGTTAAGGCAATGAATGCCGAATGTTTCCACATAAAGAAACAGCTAATGTTACCATTACCATTACCATTACCAAATGGTTAATATTACCATTAACATTATCTTAATCTATCATCAATTCTTATCTCCATAACAAGAGTTATTCTTATCATCGTTAGCAGCATCATTGTCATTGTCAATGTCCTTTGGAATAATAATAATAATAATAATAATGATCTCTATCATTATCGCTAATGTCGCCCTCACAGACATAGTAACATCGTTATGATTGGTAATGTCAACATTATCAAAATAAACGTCTTTATATCCTTAACACAGATTAAAACCAATGTAATTAGACGAAGAATTCATTGGAATTTATACACGAAACTCAGGGTTACTTAGTTCGTAATTTTGCCGCGACAATTTGTGAGTGGTTGTAACAGTAGCACTCAATCGATTAGTTTGCTGGAGATACTGCGGATTAGGTGCAAGAAAGTTTTTAATGAGGAAATTCCTTGAGATCTTAAGGCATCATCTCCTACACACACACGCACATGTGTCTGTGTGTCCAAGACCGTTTATGAAGAGGTGCTGAAATTTTCTCAGTTTAACTAAAAAGGAATTACTGTGGTTTGATTATTTTGAAATTGGCCCGGGCCGGGAATTGTCCATCATCTTATCATATAAGGATAACATGTATATATTTATTGTAATGGTATAATTCCTTGGACACCACATAATGAAGAATGGGGGCCTGGAAAACTTAACCCTCACAGGGCATAGTGAGGGCAAGAGAGATAGGTGAGGGCCGCGAACCACTTAACTGACGAGCTTGTCTGAATGGGTGGCTGAACGAGGTACGATGCCCTTAACAAAGGGAGAAACGCGCAACATAGAACGTTGTGGAGAGCCATGGTCACCTATGTCCTTAAAGGAGGCGGTACATGTAATAATAAAAGGTAATAGTATGTAAGGAACCAGGGAGGAACGGTGGAGTAATGGATAGCGGCTCGAATTGAGGAATCGGAGAGCCGAGTTCGATTACATTAATCATGCTAATACCCTTGGGGAAGGTATTAATCCTTTTCTTCTTCCCCAGCTATGGGTAAATAGCAGGACAGACCGGGTTCTATAGCCTAGGATGGCAACTGGTTTACCGCAGAAAGAAATGACAACCTACTGCGTGAAAAAATCTGCCTTGTCAGTCGTGTATCGAAAGATACATGATCACCTAAGCGTGTATCTCGCATGGCACATAACTGATTGACTGATATAAGGAATGCACGTGTGTGCTTCCATATATTCTTATGCATCGATAGTTGGCATTTGTACTTTAAGTGAGCATAGCAATTTATTCCTGCAGAATGCTGTATGATCTTTGTCTTTTGGGAATTATCAGGAAACTTATCGAAAAATACATCTAATTGTGATTGAACCGATGCTAACTTTATGTGCATTTTCTGTGCCTTTGCGTCAAGTCTCTTGGGAGGACGAAACAGATACACTCTGGGGCGAAGTGAAACATCAAAAAGAAACCGGGTTTCTTATGGCGAACCGAATCACGATCATTCTCCTACCGAAGATCATGATTGTTTTTCTGTTGATCCTTTTATCACCATCATCTTCATTCTGATAAGTATGGGCTAATTTCTTTTTATATGGTAAAAGTGGTCTTGAACAAAAATCCAACCTTCTCTACTAAATGTCCCAAGAAATTAATTATTTCACGCAAGGCGACAATGCCACTAAGACGCAAAGGGATGACTGGGAGTGGAAGAGAATGAGAAGACTTTACTGAAGAGAAAAGACTATAAAAGGACAGATTTAGAAAGACAGAAGATGGCGATTGACGTTGGATTTAAATCGGTAACAGAGAAGCAAGAAATCGGAAGAGAGTTCCACAGGTGAGAAGTGCGAGAGAAGAAACTATTGGATTAGAACTTACGGTTGCATCTATTTCAACAGTTAAATGCTGAAACCTACTTGCCCATCTAGAAGTACGCTTAATTTCATGCGATCGAGGTACTAAGTTCATTAGAACAACTGCCATAAAAATATTAATAGAAAAGACAGAGGGAAGTTACGTCACGGCGGTGAGAAAGTGACTGAAGTCAGTAGCGATTGCATGACATACCCTTCTTTGGATTGTCTCCAGAATCACGAGATAAATAGCCGGAGGACCAGAGCAGACATGGCAGCAATATTCGATACATGGACGAACGGTAGAATTCTGTCGAGAAAAATTATCTGGTACGACACAGTGAACCAACTTTCCTTGCAGTAGCCGTAGGAATTGATTCAGTATAGTTACTCCACTTCATGTCAGTAGCACAATGAGTTGTTCTCATGATGGCTAGCATCAGTCATGCTCATAGAATGCAATAATGGTTCTCTATAATAATTAACGGATAGGAGTTTTGTTTTGGAGGCGTTAAAATTTAGAAGACATTGCTTGCCCCATTTAACAACTGATTGGAGGTAATTTTCCATAGCAGAAGCCAGTTTTACTTTGTCTAACCTATCTGAATTACTATTAACACATGAGTAAATAGTTGTGTCTCCAGTATAAATGCATATTTGGGATCGGATAACATCGAGAAGCTCGTTGATGAAGATGAGAAACAACATAGGTCCAAGAATAAATTTAGTATAGGAAATTGAAAACAGGATAGCCTATGGTAGGGATAGTTTCTCACAGTGCCGCAAGTTGCTACAAAACCAAAACATTAGGTTAAGAACTCGAATTATGTTTTTAAATAACCGCGTCATATCGAGACTTTCATTTAGAAGTCATGCATGGCATCGAACCTACTCATAAATATATAAACTGTGAACTGTATAAAAACACTTTCTCAGATCAATGATTTTAAAATGGCTTTGAGCGAATGAAGTATGTAGTTCTTAGCGAGGACCAACCTTTTCGAACCACGTACATTAGTACTACATGTAACTCGAAGATAATAAAATAATTAAGTTGTTGATGTTCCACAGTACTTCAAATAAAAGGTTAAGAAAGAAATCTGCATCGATACTGGAAAAAGCGTCTGAAGAAACTTTCTTCCTGAAATATTGTCTTAATAAATGATATTATAAATTTCTAGAGTTGTACTGGCTGTTCAGTCAATGAATGCCTAATGTTTCCAAATAAGAAAACAGCTAATGTTACCATTACCATTATCAAAAGGTTAATATTACCATTACCGTTCTTATCTCCATAAATAGAATTATTTTTGCCATCGTTAGCATCATTATTAACATTGTCACTGTTCTATGGACTAATAATAATCCCTATCATTATCGTCAATATCGATCCCAGAGACAAGGTAACGTTGTTATGAATGATAATGCTAACATTATCAAAATAATTATCTCTTCTACTGCCATTGCAGTCACTAAACAAGCCATCATTATTGACATTTTAGCATCTGCTTCATCTACATCAACATCACCACAATCACTACCATCGCCCTCCATCCTCACCCAGGCTCCGTACATCGCGAAACTTCAACAATATCATCATCACTTGGAAAATGGTTACAAACACCGACACTCCTAAGACCACCATTATTATACGTATCCTCGTTATTATTATTATTATCAGCATTATCAACGTTATTAACATCATTGACATCTTCCATTATCGCTTTTATACTGAGTGTAGATAATATTTAATTATGTTCGATGGGTATCAAATGATGGCACCAAATGAAGAATAATGGCAAATTTGTCCCTGGCACCATCGGCTAATATTTATATAAAGAACCGTTGATTTTGGCGATAGACTCTGCGAATTGGCTGAATTTAATTTAACTGAAAGCCTGATTTGGCTTCAATAGTTCGCATAAATATCTCAAAAGTACCAAACAAAGAACAACGGCCGTAGTTCAATAATTAGTATGCTATACACGCAAAACATTGGCACTGAGTTTGTGCTTTGCGTCCAGCTTTGTGTCAGAATAGTTTAAGTGTTCCTTTTATGTGACTTGTCTGTTTAGGACGTGGGCTATCATGGCTTTCCACATCTTTCTATCCGTTCTGCTTTTAGTCAATGATTGTCTCCTTACAATCACTGTCAGTGCTTGTTCTACCCTTTACACAAGCTCGTCAGGTAGCTTACTCGTTTCTCTCTGGCCTTCAGTATGCCCTGTGGATGTCAGATTCTCAAAGTCTTCTTTCCTAATTG